GTCCATCTTTTATACAGTCTATGGTTTGAGTTCTCTCCACTTCCAGCCATGGTTGTGCTGTTTCCATACAGCTGCAGAACTTCACATTTCAGTGTAATAAGCCAACAGCGATTACAAATGTGACAAAAAGCACTGAGAAGCTGCTTGAGTTTCAGAGGGTTAATAATCAGTGATTACAGACAGTTGCAAAGGCTGAAGCAGGTGTGAATCTGTTATAATCTACTCCAGGAACTATTTTTAGATGTGTGCTGTTCTTTCGTTTATTTATGTATTTATGTTTACTCTCCCTCAGGTATGATGGGATGGCCTACAAAGCCGCTTCTCAGCACACCATGTACAAGTCGGACACCAGATCTCGGCCCGTCTACAACGACTCCTACAAAGCTCAGAGCAGGGACGGACGGCAGTCGAACCAGATGTTTGACTACGTCTAGGACCCAGTCGGCCTTGTGAATACCTCTGTTTTATATTCTGTGATAAGAGTTTCTCATGGATGGAGTGTAAAAGATGGACGTAGCCCCTGGGTGTTAAAAGTAAAGCCAACGTACGAGTGGCTTCTACCTGCATTCTTTCTAACAGCCAGCAGGGGGCGACTCCTCTGGATGCACAGTCTGAATATATAGAAGTCTATGAGCAATGAGCCTGCTTCTCACTTCATCTGTTGCCTCAGTTAACATTTTATTAATGAATTTATGGTCTCAATCTTGGGTTTTACATCCGGTTTTATACAGTATGATGTTCATTTAGTATATTACAGTCGCATTTAGAGTAAAATAGACAACAAAGCAGGCCATGCTTCACAGCACTAATGACCAAAGACGGGTGACATCACAGTGGCTACGTCCATCTTTATATACAGTCTGTGGTTTTTCTTTTCTTTTAGCCGACATTCGTGGGAAAAGCAGTTATTTTTTTATTTCTCCCTCTCTCTTTTTGTTTTTTTTCTAAAATAGCCTCATGCAATCACAATTATCAAATACTGTTGTGTAATTTGTGCTGTGCTGTTTGGTTTGTGTGTCGAATAAAATGTGATTCTTATTTTGTCTTATGCTCAGTTTACCACCTCGACACTAAGTATGACAGAACCAGGAGGCGGCTGCAGCGTAACGTCAAACTTGTTCTCGCGTTAGTTTTGGTTTTTAGGAGATTTATGCATCACAATTAGCTACGACTAAAAAGAAGCTAAAAACATCAAAGTATAAGTTTAAAAACAAATTTTTCGTACATATTTTTTACATGTATGTCTTTGTGGGAAGAAAATGTCATACGTGCTTTAGTAGAGAACTTTATTTTACATTCAATAAAAAAATAAAACTGCTTTATGTCACAGTTATGTGACAGCTTATGATGCCACAGTGACATCCTTGGCAGGGAAACTGGTTTCTGTTCAGGTCTACTGGCCAGATTTCACACACGACTGGAGGCTTTACTACTTCTAACAACAATAATAATAAACTTTGTACTTTTACCATAGCTTACTCAAAGACAAATGTTTGAAGAAGAGACCACCTGAAACAACCCCATTAAGTGAGCTGCTACTCTGAAACCAGCTCGTCTTTATTGACACCTTTGTAACTTGGCAAATTTCCTCACAACTTATTTCTGGATTTACAGATATCTGGAAAAACACAACATGTAATTGATTAGTTTAGCATGAAATTGTTTTAGATTTAACATCTAATTGCATTTCTAGTGTAACATGATTAAATGTTCTGTACATTTTGGAGGCGTGACAAATGAGAAAATGTTCTTTTTTTAAGTTGTTTTTAGGCCTTTTTGCCTTTATTTGACAGGACAGTAGAGAGAGAGACAGGACAGTGGGGAGAAGAATGGGGGAAAGACCTGCAGCAAATGGATTCGAACCCATCACTGCTGCATCTGGGACTGTAGCCCCTATACATATGACGCCAGATCAACCAGTTGAGCTATAGTGGCGACGCAAAAATGTTCATATTTGAGAGAAATGTAGGAGAAAATGAAATTATTCATTAGAACAACTAATTCAATTGTTGCCGATCCTTTAATGATCAAACCATCTGAAACACTCGTATTGATTATTGTGTTGTTGTTTATCCTATTAGTGTTATCAATAGAAAATGCAGTGGTCATCAGTTTATCCGTGGTAGTTAGCTGTTATCTCCGGCCCCGCGGCGCCGCGTGATAAATAAAATTATTGTCACATTGTTTCGGGGTAATTGAATAAAGTAAAAGGTTCCTCTCAGAGAGACGCTGCGTGTTGGGTGTGATCCTGGTTGTTCGTTCGGAGCTCTGGATGTATCTGGAGTTTTCCTGGTCCTCCTCTGGGATGTGTCCTCATTTCCCAGGAAACAGGCGGAAAAGGGTTTCAGTGATTTGCATGAAATCGGGTTTCTTGATAGTAGAATTAATGGAAGTAATAAGTGGCAGTAACATTTAATCACACCAAGAGTGACCCATTAATTGTTTTAATTAAATTGTAAATGACTGAGAATAAAGACAATGTGACAAACCTTTTAACGCTCGTCCAGCAGGGAGGAGGCTGTAGAGGTTTGTATCGTCTGCTCTGCTCATGGAAGGACTTTGATATTTACTCAGGTCGTTTTCTGACAGAACAGTCCAGAGATTGATTGTGAAAACTAGATGTATCCAGAAAGAGCATTTTAATGCTGAATGGTTGGATGAAGTAAACGACTAATGTTTCTTAAACCTACATCAGTTCTTCGATAAATGTCTTTTATACAGTTTTGCATCTATTAAATTAAAATCTAATGATCTTATGATCCTCAAATGCTCGTCAGCTTCGTGATTTCCCCAGAATCCCAGAAACCAACCAGTATAACAGAGCTCAAAGATGACTTAATGAACAGAAAATCAGCTTCTGGAATGTGAATATTTGCTCGTGTCTGAGTTTCCCAAGTCACAGTTTGTTTGTTTTTTTTTTGCTTTTGGTGTTAAGAGCTGCAACGATTAATCGATTGATCCATTAGTTGTTAACTATTAAAATAATAGTCGACTATTTTGATAATTGATTAACTGATTTTTAATAACTTTTGAAGAAAAGAAAACCTAAACTCTCTGATTCCAGATCCTTACATGTAGATATTTTCTGGATTCCTTCCTCTGCGGCAGTAAACTGAGACAAGACGTTTGTTATCTTTGGTTTTGGGAAACACTAATCAACATTTTTCACTATTTTCTGACATTTTCAAGACCAAACAACTACCTGATTAATTGAGAAAATAATCAACAGATGAACATCTGAATATGTTCATCTTGGCTTCATTGAATAAAATATGCACTCAAACCCATCAGTCAGCTGTTAAAGAAAGCAGCTGTCAGATGTATTAATAACAATCTAAGTGTTGGCTGCACCCTGACATTCCTCCTTTGATTGACAAAGTACTTCTTTGCCAGAGACTTTCCGTGTTGATTACTGCACAGAATGAACTCAACTAAAGGTCTGAAAACTAGAAACTTAAACCTCCACAAGCTCAGGGCCACAGGGTGGAGGATCTATCTTAGTTCTTATTTTATCAGGGCTTTGCGATATACAGTTTCAGCATCAACATTACGATTTCTGCAAGAGTCACATTGCAGAAAGTGTGAACTGCAAATCAGCTCAAACACGTCACGTCACAACTTTGCAACTTGCAGCTTCATACAACGAGAAAATTCTCATTGTTCTCATTTTCCATGATTAATCTACAAGAACAGATAAAACACACACTGCAATTAGATGTTAATTACAGTTTTCTGTAACAGAGTTTTCTTTTAACCTTATTTAAAAGACAGGTTTTAGACATTCAGGCACTGAAAACGAGGATTTTGTTGCTGTTGGGCTACACAACAAATATAATATTATTATTCCACTATTATCATAGTCACGAGTTTGGCTTCTTGCAATTAAATAAATATGATCGACTGTAGTATTCACGATTAAAAAACTCAAAACAGAATATGTAGAGAAAACCTGGTTTATTTCACTCTTTTCAAAGTTTTTTTTGGCATCACGTATATCTGAGCGGCTGCACTGCAGCAACTGAGCGGAGACTAGAGGCTTCTCTGTGCACAGCCACCGAGCTAGCTTCTACTGTAGTCTGAATCTAAAACCAGCGAACAAATGTGATTAGTAATCCATCCATCATCTATCCACCGCTTAATCCTCATTAGGGTCGTGGGGGGCTGGAGTCTATCCCAGCTGACTCAGGGTGAAGGCAGGGGACACCCTGGACAGGTCACCAGTCTATCACAGGGCTACACTTAGAGACAGACAACCAAGCACACTCACATTCACACCTACAGACAATTTAGAATCACCAATTAACCTCAACATGTTTTTGGACTGTGTGGGAGGAAGCTGGAGAACCTGGAGAGAACCCACGCTGCACGGGGAGAACATGTAAACTCCACACAGAAAGATCCCGGGTGTCCTCACCGGGGCGCGAACCAGCAACCTTCTTGCTGTGAGGCAACGGTGCTAACCAACTGCGCCACCTTGCAGCCCTCTGATTAATAATCCTGAACTCAAAATACAAAATTATCATTTTTCCCATGATTGTACAGCTTGAGTCAGTTGTATGGAAATATTTTGGCCACAGAAAGGATGATGTTGACCAAAAACAGGTTCTCTGTCGTCACTGTTTTGTTGTTTTTTTGTCGCTACACCTTTAAAATCTGCACCACAAAGTTCTGTATGATAATTGCAAAGTCAGACCTGATTACCATCCAAAGCAAGAAACTAGTTCCGTTGCTTTAGTCAGTGTTACACCAAATGAGAAAGATTCCAAACAGTTCACTCAAAAAATATTTTCAACGCAAAAAGCCATTTTTCATTTTTTGTTTATTGCACAGATGCTGATCTATGCAGACCATCTAAATCATTCTACTATGATTAATTATTTCCAGATAGAGTCACTGAATTCATCTGGTGGCATAAAAATCTGAGTTTGACATTTTTAACTCAGGAAAAAAATTCTCTGTAGGATAAAGAAAAACATCAGCCTCCATGAGATGTATCTGAACACATTTCAGCAGTAATTGAAAGTGCTCGACATGTGTAATCCTATGTAGAGGTGTGATCATGAGGTTTTTCTTTTGTTGTTTCTACTGATCTTCAGTTTGATGGTTCTGCTTCTCGCTGCTGTCACTCATGCAGACAGCTTCATCCTTGAACCTCTGGCACCACCTACTGGCTGAGATACACATCGCTGCTCTCGTGTTGAAGTTGTTCTGTGTTGGTGTCACGTTCTGGGTCCTTCATCTTCCAGCAGTCGAGTTTCGTGGTTCTTTTTTTGGTGACATTTACTTGCCGAAAGTTGGAAGCTTGACAACCACCATTATTCACCACAGCAATTCAAACGCTCCTAAGTTCAAGTTGTAAACATATTGATAGGATCATGAGATTGACTTTACATGCTACCACTGATGCTGCTTTTAAACTCTGGGCAGGCCACGG